CAAAGGCTAAATACGGGAGAGATGCTGCTATACTCCGGCCACGAAGAGGAAAATGCTCCACACACTCAGGGAGTTGTTCTAACGCTGTCCAAAGTAGCACGAAATGCACTTGTAGGATGGGAATCTCACAGATCCAGAATCATCAAAGCATCATTCAAAACAAAGAAGGAGAGGATCACAATGAATATTATCCAATGTTATGCACCCACCAATGATAGCAACGACGACATTAAAGATCAATTCTACGGGCGGCTGCAGTCAATCATAGAGAAGTGCCCAAGAAACGACCTCACCATTCTGATGGGAGATCTAAATGCCAAAATCGGAATAGACAACACCGGATATGAAGATAGCATGGGACGACAGAGAACCAGATAGACCATATTTGCATCAATAAAAAATTCCGAAGGACAATGGAAGATGTGAGAACCAGGAGAGGAGCTGACGTAGCTTCAGGTCACCACCTAGTTGTGGCCAATTTAAAACTGAAGCTAAAGAAAAACTGGACAACTGGACAAACAGTACTACAAGGGTTCAATACAGCCTTCCTTCGAGATACTGACAAACTCAATGAATTCAAGATAGCTCACAACAACAGGTTCCAAGCCTTATAGGATCTACTGAAGGAAAAAGAAACTACTATGGAGGACAAATGGAAAGGTATCAAAGAAGCATTAACTTCAACGTGTCAAGAGGCTCTGGGCCTAAAGAAGCACCGCCATAAGGAATGGATCTCTTTAGAAACACTGGACAAAATCAAAGAAAGGAAGAACAAGAAGACAGCAATTAACAACAGCCGAACACGAGCAGAGAAAGTCCAAGCAAATCCAAGCTGAATACATAGAAGCAAACAAGCAAGTGAAGAAGAGCATCAAAGCCGACAAGCAGAAATACGTGGAAGAACTAGCAACGACAGCGGAAAAAGCTGCAAGAGAAGGAAATATGAAACAGCGTTAAGATACAACGAGGAAACTAGCAGGGAAGTACAGTAAACCAGAGAGACCGGTTAAAGACAAAGAAGGCAAGCCAATCACTGAAATTCAACAACAGCGGAACAGATGGGTAGAATACTTCGAGGAACTCCTGAATAGGTCGGCTCCAACGAATCCACCGGACATCGAAGCTGCACACACAGATCTTCCTATAGATGTCAATCCACCAACGACCGAAGAAATCAGAATGGCAATCAGACAAATCAAGAGAGGGAAAGCAACAGGACTCGACAACATACCAACTGAAGCACTGAAGTCAGACATCAAAGTAACTACAAACATGCTTCACCTTCTATTCAAAAAGATTTGAGAGGAGGAACAAGTGCCGATGGACTGGAAAGAAGGACACCTCATCAAGATTCCAACGAAAGGAGATCTGAGCAAACGTGAAAACTACAGAGGCATGACACTACTGTCAGTAGCAGGAAAAGTCTTTAACATAATCTTGCTGAACCGGATGAAAAATGCAGTAGACACCCAACTTCGAGATCAACAAGCTGGATTACGTAAGGATAGGTCATGCACAGACCGAATTGCAACACTAAGGATCATCGTCGAACAATCAATTGAGTGGAACTCGTCACTATACATCAACTTCATTGATTATGAAAAGGCATTCGACAGTGTAGATAGGAGGACGTTATGGAAACTTCTTCGACACTACGGAGTTCCTGAGAAGATTGTCAATATCATCCGGAACTCATACGACGGACTACAGTGCAAAGTAGTGCATGGAGGACAGCTGACAGATGCATTCCAAGTAAGGACCGGAGTCAGACAAGGCTGTCTACTCTCTCCCTTCCTCTTTCTTCTGGTGGTCGACTGGATTATGAAGACCTCGACATCTAAAGGAAAACACGGAATACAATGGATAGCTCAGAATCAATTAGACGATTTGGACTTCGCAGATGACCTAGCTCTTCTATCGCATACACATGAACAAATGCAGGTAAAGACAGTCAGTGTATCAGCAGCAGTCTCTGAATCAGTGGGCCTCAGCATACACAAGGGGAAAACCAAGGTCCTCAAATACAACACGGAGAATGCCAATCCAATCACTCTTGATGGCGAAACTCTGGAAGATATAGAATCCTTCACATACCTGGGAAGCATAATCGATGAACAAGGAGGATCAGATGCAGACGTAAAGGCGAGGATTGGCAAAGCAAGGACAGCATTCCTACACTTGAAGAACATATGGAACTCAAAACAACTTTAAACCAATATCAAAGTCAGAATCTTCAATACGAATGTCAAGGCAGTTCTACTGTACGGAACTGAAACTTCAAAAACTACTACAACCATCATCAAGAAGGTACAAGTATTTATAAATAGCTGTCTACGCACGATACTCAACATCCATTGGCCGGATACCATCAGCAACAGTCTTCTGTGGGAGAGAACAAACCAGCTTCCAGCTGAAGAGGAAATTAGGAAAAGACGATGGAAATGGATAGGACATACATTGCGCAAATCGTCAAACTGCATCACGAGTCAAGTCCTAACTTGGAATCCTGAAGGGAAGCGAAAAAGAGGAAGGCCAAAGAACACATTACGTTGAGAAATAGAAGCAGATATGAAAACGATGAATAACAACTGGAAGGAGCTGGAAAGGATTGCCCAGGACAGGGTTGGATGGAGAATGCCAGTGAGCGGCCTATGCTCCTTCACGAGGATTAACAGGCCTAAGTAAGGAAGTAATATGTTATGTTGAGACAGAAAGGATTCATAATCAACAAAGGACGGTAACTAATGAAAATAATTATTGATTTCAATAATTTAAAATTTCCGTTTGAAGAGAAGGTTGACAACCGTATACAAGCAACAACCTTGGTAGTTCAGTTTTATAGATGTTTTTTATAAAATGATATATTTTTCAAATGTTTGGGAGCCACCAATTTTAAAGCTTTCTAAATATTACAGTTAAATGAACCGCTTAAGGTTTATTTGAACTAAATAATTTTGATCGTTAACTATAGGTGCTTACGCGCTATTATAAAAATCGATGGAAAACAATTGTGATAATAAATATAGGGAAAGGCAGATAGAAACACTGAAGTTTTTGGTATACTTATATGTAATTAAGAGAAAAAGATATTGGAATTTAAGCCCATTATATATGGTGGCAGCAGCTCATGTGGTAGGAAACTGTGGTGATTGAATACAGATTAAATTAACTGACCATTGAAAACATTCTTAAAATATTCATTTGAATTGGTTATTTCATTCATCCCATTGATAGAAAGAACTGGAATTTATCAAATAACCAATATAAATGAATTTAAATTCAAACCATCGCATAAGTCAGAGAGTGTAGACAAGTGAATGAAGTGTTGGGCGCTTAAAACTAGAGATACTGAGTTCGAGTTCGAGTGTGAAAATCAACGCCAGAGTGTGGCCAGGTTCACATGATGAGTCCCATATAGGACGGAATGAGCATCCTGGATTTCACCGATAGAAACTGTGTAACTCTGTCAAAAATGCTTTTGATTCATAATTTGTTATATGTGATTAGTTTGTATGTTAAAGAGATATTTGTTTTAATGTTGCAGTCAGTCAGTCGAGACGTAGAATTTGGTACGTCTGTACATAGGTTTAGGTAACCATGGCCCATTTGCACAGAGAGATGGAATTGTCAGGCGAAATCCCAGAATAGTAGAAGTAGTCAAAGTATTAGTGGTGATTAAAAAGATTAGGCATCGAAGATACTATTGAAGAGGATATGACTTAGTGAAACAAGAACTGAAAAAAGTTACGATGGATTGAAGAGTTCAGAATTCGGTGTAAGACAAAGGATGGATGCACCTGTGCCATTTCAAACGGCATTTTAGCCATGTAACTATTAGTTACTGTGATCACACGGAACACAACCAGCTAGTCTACACCTATTAACTGGCTAAGTTCATTTGTCGGTGACTTCATGGACTGATGCCACGTTTTGATTTGGGCGCTCCCAGTATTCTTCCAGCCTATTCGTACACCAGAAAAAATCGCCCGTCGAGGTAGGTGGTGGTTGGTCACATGTAACATATGTCGCAACCACCTCAGTTGATGAAGATTTAGTATCTCATCAATCGACTTCTCATCTTTACCTAGTACTCTATTGCTAATCCAGACAAAGCTTGCTCTGTCATCCCAAAATACACGAGTAATACTTCCAAAGACACCTGTGACCGAATAGCAGTAATCTACGACTACCCTCTACTCTTATTGGCCATATTTCACATCCATAAGGTAGAACAGAGAGAAATGCTGGGCAAAAAACGCGCCCTTTAGTTGAAAGACCGATATCTCACACACGCCACAAGTGACACGAATTGGCAAATGCCGATCGTGCCTTGTGAATTCGTGCCAAGATTTCGTCAGACGCCAGATCAGGACTGATGAGACTCCCGAAATAAGTGAAGCAGTCGATGCGTTAATCTATTTCACTCCCCATCAATAATTCAGGCGACGACGCAAGTTAATGCTGAAGTAAAATTTTGCATTTCGAGGGACAGAACCAATCCCTATACATGCGTGCATTTTATTGTTGTACAGTCGATATTCAAAATTATATATATATATATATATATATAGTACCTTGACGTAGTGGTCAGGCTAATATATTGTGATGACCCAGTCGTAACATTAATTCTTTCAGATTTTATCATGGTAAGTACGTTTTTTGAAGAACGGTAAGACAAAAAGCGGCGAACTAAGATCAGAGAGTGGAGTTTTACTAATGACTATCTTGGAGTGTGATGTCATAACGAAAGGATAGGTAAGAAAAACGTTAGATTTGAAAATTTCCGAACCTATCGAATGAACACTGCATGGTAAGTACCAAGGCGTTACCTCTCGTGGTCTATGGTCACACTACCAGGTCTCCAATATCGTTGCTAATCCAGCTTCGTGCTCAAACACCTAAGGAAAAATATCTTTCTACGGTGTGGGCAACTAGGAATTGGATGTACATATATAATAGAAGGTAAAACACTAATCTAACCAGAAAAGACAACAACTTACTTAATTCCGCTAAAACAACACCAGAAGCAGGTGGCGCTGGCCAATCATAACGTTCAATTGGCCTCGGCGTACTTTTATCACGTTCTTGTCCAGCCGGTAAACAAGCTAATTTCCGTGTTTCCAATGTGATATTACGATCATTTAGTAAAATTGGACCAGATTGACTAATATCATCCATATATGTTCGATGTGATTTTGACGTTAATTGACTGGTATGGTCACCAATAATGTTATCATTGTAATTATTATTGTCATCAGTGGTATTAGATAAGATTCTGGTGATTTTTTTTGTTGATGTTGTTGTCGATAATGACAGTTTATCAGTTTTAAGGTTATCACCATGTAAATTAAAAGCTGACAATGCAAAAGGCTTATTAAGAGAACGTGATATAATAATGTCAGGGTGACAATTTTTAGTAGCAGTACTAGTAGTATTAGTTGAACGTGGTGTACTTGTATTAGTATTATACAATGGTGAGATTGCACTGCTAACTGAACGACCAAATAATGTTGCGTAGAATTTTGTACCAGGCGGTAGAAAACGACTTTTACCACCTAGAAAAGTAAAATAAATTGACTGATTAAACTTAAACCGTTTTTAATTTTTTTTGTACTGGTAGAAAAAGAAAGATATCTTTTTTATTAGTTTCACGTTATAGCTGAGTACGTATCGAAAAAAGTTAGTCACATCACTTATGATTCCCATGAATCTTGACATGTTTAATAAGACTGGAACCAGTGGTGTACTTCACTTAAAATCAAGTTTCCGAATCTTTAATCAGTCACAGATGTACATGTTTTAAACATACATGTAAAAATAAGGAACAAGACAGTTGTTTTATTAATTTCATTTTGTTAAAATTCTGTAGCATTATAAGAATGAAGATAAGCTTGTGTCTAAACATTTTAGATTCAGAAGTTACAATTACTGATTTGCAACGCTGCTGACAGAGATGAGTATAATCAATGTTAGTGTATGTTAAATAAAAAAAATTATGAACTAATCTAACTTAAGAGAAAAATAATTATTATCTAGAGTATATGGTCTGTGGCATGCAGTGGAATTCATGGTGCGCGCTCCATCCTTTCAAGAATTCGTCACAGATGGAGGTACCTGAATGCCAGTATTTATCTTAGGAATGAGACTCGAATGCAGTACTAATCGTTTCAAATGCTAACTTTCTATCCACGGAGTTGGTGAGTTCAAATAACTTCTAATTCAACGAGTATGATATTTATATCATAATCAAAAGGAAACAAGCAAACAATACAGTGACTTATCAAAAAGGGTTTGGATTGTCTCGTTGTTGATGTTATTAACTGAATTATTATCAGTCTTGATTTGGAAGTGTATATTCTGTGTGGATTGTTTCAATATAGCCATCCCGCTATTAGCCACAATACCTACATTCTAGGTAACGTGACAAGATGATTATAATGCGATAATCCACACAGGATACACATATATTAATCAAAGACTGATCAAAATTTAGTCGACAATATCAATAAAAAGATAATTTAAACCCTTTTCAAAAATAATATTATTATTATAAAGTCAGCATCATATACAATAGAAATAAAGTTTCTAAATTATGGATATTGAAAATTTGTATGAAAGTATAATTCATGCATCATGAAACACGTCGCATTATTCCATTTTTTTTAAAATACTGATTTTAGTGTCATTGTACTTAGAATAAATGGTTCATCAAACATACATGAACTATACGTTTAATTGTTACACAAGTAAACTATAAACTATTTCATGAAGTTGAAGGAAAACCGATAGAATATTGAGTCATCCTACTTAGGCAAGGTTAAAGTAATAACATGTTAGATGGTTGAAGGTAGTTGTCAGGTAATCATTAACCTATATTTTATGTTTGTTGGGATTTTTAACAAGGTGTATCTACAATTTTGTGGGAAGTGATGTTCTTTATGGAATTCGAAGCCACGTGAACCATATCCATGCTACCGCTGATATATTCGGTCCACAACTGACCTCTATTAAGAATTGGGCATTTGCACTAATATAACGAAACGTCACCAACAAATTACAATAGAATTTCATCAGCACTAAGGGATAAATAAACATGATATCGGTTACAACTCAATGATCAATCAGTGCACAAATCTCGGTTACATATGGGATTAGTCGCTAGCCTAATAGCTCAGTGTTGACGTTTCATACTGTGAAGCTGAGTGACGTGGGTTCAAATTCCAAGAAGGCATCAGTAACTTCACGATCGGATGTATGCCTTTTCAATGAAGCTTAGATTTAAGATTTTTTACCAACCACTTAACTCCAACCAGCACTTAATAATAAGAAAACAATATGATGAGGGAAATTTGTAATTCGGAAGCAGATTTCGAAAGTTTTACATTATTTGATCTGGCTAGTTCCACAGTGATTTCGCCACAATTTTAAATGACATCATCAGCATCAGTATAAACTAAAGAAGAAATATACACTTATCAACAATAAGCCGTAAAATTTCACCACTACAAAACAAACTACAACAATGATACGTGGAGAAATTTTACTAAAACTTTTGAAAGTATGCGATCCTGTTGTTTCTAAGAGAGATCAACGGAGCTTCACGATTATAAATCAGTCAGTCAGCCAGCTTTCAGAGAACGTAATATGCCTTCTAAATGAAACAACAAACAGTATATAAATCAAGTTTTTTGCCGAAACTAACAACCCACATAAAATTGTAAACTATTAACAGAGAAAACAAACAAACAGTCGTAAGTCATTACAAACTTTGTAGATAAGATAGTCCTATTCTTTTTAGTTACTTATTTAAGAGAAATTTTCATTCAGTCACTCTGTTATTGTTGTTGCTATCGCATAACTATTATTGCCTTAGTGTCAGTTTGATTCAATATCTAGTTTATTGATATAAAAATGGATCCACTGATCGATATTTATTTAATTTTAAAACAGCTCAATATTACATAATCTGCAGTACTTGTGAGAAAAACCTGAAACATAATGCAGCGTAATATAACATGCTTTTTTGGAAAGAAAAAAACACGGAATAAAACCCATTCTAGGAACATAATACACATAAATATAATCTTTTGGTTTTTTACAGATTATAAGGAAAAATTAATAGAATTTATGTATTGGCATATGTGATCAAATCCAGCGATTGTTAACAGTAGTTCAACAAACTAGAAGAAACCAACAATTCGGTTGTTTAGAATTCACGTATGTAGTTAAATTACAAGCAATGCTAAATGAAAATCAGTTAGTCAGTCAGTCAGTAACAACGTAGAACTTCGTACGTACGTACATCAATTCGAGCTGCCACACCACATTAGCACAGAGATGCAGTTGTCGATTCGAATCCCGTAGTGCTAGATGTAGTAAAAGTATAAGCAGTAATCAAATACATTAGGGTTTCAAGGGGTATAATCGAGTGAAATAAATTTGGAAAGAGGAAAAAAGAGACAAGGAGAAATCAGGAGGTTAGAATTTGGGAGAACGCAAAGAGTGGATGCACCTGCGCCATTGCAAACGATTTTGAATCATGTCATTCAGGGTCTCTAACCATCGGTTGCTGTCATCTCGCGGTCCCCAACCAGGTAGTCTACACCTACCAACATGCCTCAGTCCACTTGTCAGTGACTTCATGGGTTTGTGCCATGTTTTGGTCTGGCCGCCCCTAGCTTTCTTCCAGCCTACTCCTATACCACTGAACATCGCACGTCGAGGCAATCGGTTGTTGTGCATACGTAACACGTGTCCCAGCCATCTCAACTGATGAAGTTTCATTATCCCATTTATTCTCGAGTTTTTTTACCTCCCGCCCTCTCTCTCTCTCTTTGTGGTAGTGGATTTCAGTACATTTATTTAGTGAGATTTGGGAAATGCTACAATTGGATGAACCTAAATTCCATCGTTAATGTACATTTCGTTTCAAATACCTAACATGTTACTTACTAAGCTGTTGAGTCCAGATCCTTACTAGCTAGTACAACTCACATGTATTGTATTTGTAAAAGCTTATATTTTCCCTTTGTTGATCTTTAAAACTGGCCAGCCTCTGATGGCACATTGAATTCCACTGCTGGCCAAATTCAATTAAAATGTGAGTAAATGACAATATTGAGGCCACCCGCTCATGTTGTACATATGCCAGGAGAATATGATCAGTTGCAGTCTTTAATATTAACTAGTATTTGATTACAGATGCCTTAGAAATACTGCTCGTATCTGTTGGGAACATCGGGTAAGTAATAGTGAGGTTAGACACAAGGTATTAGTAAATGATGGTAAATCAGTTGATGAGGTTGTGAAACTCCATCGACTGAGATGGTTTGGCCACGTGTTACGTATGTCTGAACGCCGATTACCACGACGCGCAATGCTGACTAGTGTTAGAGGTAGTTGGAGGCAAGTTAGGAGCTGCCAAACCAAAACGTGGCATCAGTGCTCGAAGTCACTAACCTCTGGTGTGAGCTGTGTTGATAGATGCAGACTACTTGGCTGGGGTCCGCGTGACTATCGTAACCAATGTTTGGAGACTCTTGGTGACATGGTTCAGAATCGACCACAATAGCGTTGGTGTATACACTCTTTGTCTTCTCTTAAACCGAGAGATTAAAATTGCTTTATATCTTCATTTCTACGAACTAATTCTTTTTTTCTGTATTATATCCTTATACACAACCTTTCTCTTATATATTTCTAATAAGGTGTGTGTATATGTGCCTGGTCCTACGTTGTAACTGGCTGACTGAAATTCAAAGCGCTTAAGATAAGTGTTTTTTGTCTTGAATTGAGAATTTGTCAGCCATTTTTAAACATAAAAGGACATGTCAAAAATGTAATATTTCAAATCACCACACACATATCAGCACACTGATATACCAGATTGGTAGAGGTAGTAACAATATCAGTAGTAGTTCGAATGATTACTCATAGAAAACCTGATGATCCAGGAACGAAGAATGAATCCTCAATACAGAAAGTACAAGATAATTTTAGATCTTAATAACTAGGGAGAGACAAAGAGTGAATGCATCTAAAACTGTGAAATTCAAAGGCACTCGTTCGAATCCTATAAGGATGATAAACTCTTTAAAGACTGCAGATAAACCTTGCTGACAAGTACCGACATAGACGAAACCTAGGTTCAGGGTCTGTTATCAACTACCTCCAAACAACTAACACCAAAGCACAGTACACAGATTGTCGAATCACTTGGATTTGCGACCATATTGCAACTTGACCAATAGGACTGGGTCAGAGCTAAGAAACCAATAAACGTGTATTGGATAACGTTTAATCGTCAATCAATGTGATTGATTATTATTCTATTATTCGGTTATTAAAAATCAGTTGTATCTATATAACCATGTAAATCATAAAACTAACCATCAGGTAAGTGAAATTGTCGTGGTTGTGACGAACTATTTAAAGTTGTAGTGGATACGTTACGTTTATATCGATCATTATTCGGTATGGGGATTTGATTACTCAATTGTATATAGGATTGATTTAAATATCGACCATAGTTAGAGCTTGGTACTCGTCCACATAAACTCTAAAATACACACCAAATAAAGTAAATAAATATTGTAAACCAAAATAGTTACATTTTCAGAGAGCATGTCTAATCAAATCAGAATAGTTGAAGTGAATTCAAATTAATGACTTGATAATCAAGCGTCTTAATTCCTAAGTAAGCGCGGTGCTGAAGTTAGACGTAGCATCGTAAGTAGAAATAGTTTATCGATTGGTAAAGCTATTTTTCATCGTCTCAGTCAGGGTGCATGTTTACTACTCACCGCTTATGTCAACATCTAGTGCTCAATTTGGAAGGAAAATATTCGAAAAAAGCTAGACGCAATGGGACGAAGACGTGAAATAAGTAGAATAATTCACTTACGATTGAATTGAACCAGGTTAGTATGTGTAGACTTCCTGCTTGGAATTCGTGAAATATCAGTGATCCATAGTCAGAAATGTCAAATTATACGGATTTAAATCAATCACAAGAGTAGTTGCATTCATTTTTTCATATTTTCTATACGTTAGAAATTGTAACTATATCTTATACTTTTTATTCCTAGATATTTAAAGCCACATTTACCATTATAAGCTTTTTCTATTATTAGTCGTACTACTACTCTGAACTAATCATTGTACGTCGCGGTTAATTTCCTCTTTTTATGTTGATATGAAATACGGCTGGTCTAAACAGAAACTCTCTTGTGAAATGTTTTACTTTTTTGGTAATTAACTGGTTGATTGATTATTAGTCTCTACAAGAAAAGAATTTTCCATACCATAAAATCAACTGAGAATACATATTCTCCGACATTACTTCTCCTTTCATAATCGCATTTCATATGGGATGATGACTATTCTATTTATCAGATTGTTATATGGGTACTAGTATAAGGGACTTTGCATAGTGTGCACAATATTTTGATGTTAGGAGTATTTAGATAATCAGCAGGGATTGACAGGTTGTTTTGAACACCTAAATATTAATGGAAGTTAGTCACAGGCGGAATAGCTAGGTACCACCGTATTAGATTGTGAAGCAGTATGTCCTATCAATATTACTGGTACAACTTGCTGACGAATCCCAGCTAGCACAAACTCTAGGTCAAACAAAGTTCCCTGCCGACTCCTCCCAACAATCTAAGTGTAAACTTTAGTTAGACAGGTGATGATTAATGTAATCTAACAAAAGTTATCTTAATTTGCTTTATTTATCCCCCCTTTATGAATTACCACGTTATTAGAGAAATAGTTGTGATTTAATGGTGGTTTAGTTTCACATTTGACTTAAAAATTTAAATTTTCTTGTGTTTAGTGTTCCAGTCTCTCTTATTCAACTACATAGTTGAGTAAAATAAATTACATTGAAAAGTCACTTTGAACAGATAAAACTTTGACAATTGTTTAATGTATTGGGTTAACATACACTTTTTTTACCGTAAACATGTATGTTACATATGAACGAATCAAATGTTTTGGCATACCACCACAAATAGATTCAACGAACAAAACAAGTTGCTTATTGGACAAAAGTTTAGTTTGTTGAAAAATCCTAAACTTTTCAGAATTCAAAACAAAAGAAAAATGTCGGTGTATATGTGTGCATAATGATTTGAAATAAACTAAAAATATTCTTAGTGGAAATCTAGTTGTTAGGAATGCAAATTTGAACTTTCTAGATTTCGAAACTTTTTGTTAACTTCCGATTAGGCTTTGATGTTTGAAACTTGGTTGTAATAGGTGGGTTGGTCAATCAATCATAGGTAACGTAGAGTCAAACATATGTACATTGTTTTGAATTGTCATCTTATGTCAGTACAGTGAAATCATCAAGAAAACTGCCAGAATAATCAAAGTAGTAGAGATGTCAGTGGTAGAAAATATTAGACATTGAATATATGATGGTCTCAGAAGGAAAAATGAATTATAGGAGTAAAAAACTACAAGGCAATTTTAAAAATCAAGATCCAAAAGAAAAAAAGAATAAACTGACATACATTATCACGACAAATTCCGAGCCACATCAACTAACTTTTGCAATAACTTGTTTTAATGCTTTTGCAGACCCCAACTGATAACAACTTTATGGACAGACCTCATGTTTTGGTTTGGTTGTCCTTACCTATCTTTGAACTTACTATTACACCAGCAAACAGTCTGTTGATGTAGGTGGTTAAATATACACGTAGTACATGTCCAAACCACTTCAGTCGATGAAGATCCACTATTTCATCAATCAATTTGTCATTTTTTACCTAGTACCCTGGGTCTGATCTTAAGATCGCTCGCTCAATTATCCTAACATTCGTGAGTGAACCAAGACATTAAACCTAGATTCGTGGTTTCCTATCGATTACCTTTGATCAAGTATCAAGTGCACAAGATATTAAGTAACTTAGATGGGTTGGCATATTGCAACGTGATCGATTAGATTCGATCAGTACGACAAGGATAAAACAGATATGATATTGGTTACCATTCCATGTTTAAAAATATGTAACAAATCAATAAGCCGGAGAAAATGATTAATTAAGGATATGGATATATAAGGTATATATGTATGTAGAGGGAGACAGGGAAATGTGGTTATAGCATATTTTAAATTCAAAGAAATATGAGGAATAGATATGTCTGCACCACACTAGTAATTTTTTATCTACACCAATTAAAAATTGGCAGATAGTTCAGAAACTCTTAGACACTTTTTAAAATTACCAGTTGTCACTTTGTATGATTTATTTTGAAAATAACTCTTCAGGAACTTACGTGTCTAGACAGATGGAAAGACAGAGTGTGAGACTTCTCCTGACGTACATTAGTTTTATCCTGATCAGAGGTTCCATCATATAAATGCCTATAGTTTGAATCCTCCAAATTGGTTGACTAGAAAATTATAGTGAGAAAAGGACTTTGAACAAATTTAAAATAACAACAGAGCCGAAAAACAAGCTTACTGTGAAAGGTACAGAACGACTCCTAACCATCACCACACATGTGTGGTGATGCGAATGAACACTTCAGAATAAAAGTGTGATATGGATGATATTCAACACAGAATTACAACCAGCTAATAACTCATTCTAAACACTTAAAATTCCGAGTCATTTATCATATCCATACACTGCCAAATAAATACAACTGTTCGGCAAACTGGTAACGTAATTTGATAAAAGAATACGAACAGTTATTCTATGTAACCATTAACCAGTGTTTGAACACCTGTGGCTTGTGTCACAACGTCTGACTAAAAATGAGGAAAATCAGGGGTTCGAGTCATGGAATTTTTATTGACTCAGACAACCTGGTTGGCGTTAGTGTGTTATTTTAATTAGTTGTTGGGGATATTTTGTGATATAGCTGACAATCAACTTTATGGAACAGATGAGCATCCACTTTATCTTCAACTAGATCATGAGTTTCAAAAGTCTCTCATACATTTTAATCCGCGAATTCATTGTCTCCTCAAATTACATTATCTATGCCTAGCGGTTTTCTTCTGGTACTACTTTCACGGTGTGGGCAGCCGGGAAGTGACATCAGCCCTCATACCCGTAACAGCACATGAGACCAAGTTGGTCACATTCAAATCCTTCCTACACCTCCTAATACCTCTCTTATCTTCCCGACTAACCCTCCTCACGTCTCTTTATCACCTCGCACCGCTAGGGCAAACGATTTGAGTACGTGGAACGCTATTCCTGGTCTCCTGAAACCACGCTCTAAACTACACGTAGGAGCTTCTAACGTACGAACACTTTGCCAAATAGGACAGCAGGCTTCCTTAGCCAAAACTTTAGAATCTCGCGCCATCGATGTGTGCTGCGTCTCCGAAACGCGCATACAGGATCCAAGTAGCGTCATTCATTTGACCTCACCATGCCAAAATAAAGAACCGACTCGATTTACGCTTCGTGTATCTGGAAGCCCTGATTGTGCTTCCCGTGGCCTCGCCGGTGTAGGTATAGCATTGAGTCCTAGGGCAGAACTAGCTCTCTTAGAGTGGATCCCAGTAGACAGTCGTTTGTGCGCTGTCCGACTGAACGGAACAGTAAGAATCCGAAAAGATAGGGACACTCGTCGTTGCCTCTCTGCCTATTCTCCCACTGACTGCAGCTCAGATGATGTAAAAGATGAGTTTTACAGAAAGCTTTCGGACCTTCTCCGAAAAGCTAAGCGCTCGGATGTAGTAATAGTGGCCGGTGACTTTAATGCTCAAGTAGGTAAACTAAGCGATAGGGAAAGACACCTAGGTGGATCTTATGGTGTCGTGGCTGAAAGAACAGATAATGGCGACCGTCTGTTGCAGCTATGCTCAGATAACCGCCTGTTCCTTGCAAATACTAATTTTAAGCATAAGGAAAAACATCTTTTAACATGGCGACCCCCTAATTCGTCCCAACGTTGGACCCAAATAGATCACATCGCTATCAGCCACCGATGAAGGGGCTCGATAGAAGACTGTCGCTCATTCTGGAGCACATGCTTAGATTCAGATCATGCTCTAGTGCGAGCGCGTATTTGCTTGCGTCTTACTGAACGTAGGAAAGACGCTGTAAGGAAACCTCTTAGGGGCCTACTTAATGATAGTCAAGCTAAGAGTATATTTCAGGAACAACTAGGAAAACAGTTAGGCAGCCATGTATGTGATGCCCACCCCGATGCAGTATGGAATGATACCCGAAAAGCTGTGGAAACAGCAGTGATATCTGCTAGTAAGGTAAACCAGAAGGTTAGGGAGCAACACTGGATCTCAGCAGCATCTATCTCACTGATAAATGCTCGGAAACTCATTCCACCTGACTCTGAACATAATGAAGAGCGGAGTCAGCTTAAGCGCAAGCTGACAAGAAGTCTACGCAGTGATCGCGAACAGTGGTGGGTAGCGAAAGCAAGAGAGATGGAAAAGGCAGCGGCAATAGGTAATAGCAGACAATTGTTCAGACTCGTTAAGGAAACCGGAATTAGGAACCCGACCGTTAGCAAAACAATCTCAGAGAAAGATGGACATATTATTCATTCTCAATCCAGGAGATTGGATCAATGGGCAGAACACTTTAGGGATCAGTTCAACTGGCCTTCAGCCACACTTCGGTTTCCCACGATCTCTAGTCAACCTGAATGGCAAGTTAATGTAGGTCCTCCGTCCCTTTACGAAGTTGAAAAAGCCATAGGAAATCTGAAACGAGGGAGAGCAGCAGGCCCTGACAGGTTTACTCCTGAGATTTTTAAGGATGGTGGTCCAGTATTAGCAATGAGATTAACCGAGGTCTTAGGTAGAATTTGGGAACTGGACGTAATCCCATCTGACTGGTCTCAATCACTGATTGTGCCAGTCTATAAGAAAGGACAAAAGTCCTCTTGTGACAATCACAGAGGAATCAGTTTGACTAATATAGTGTCTAAAATATTAGCCTCAATAATACTTCGACGCCTAATCAAAGCTCGTGAAGAGCAGACTAGAGAAAATCAGGCCGGTTTTCGACCTGGACATGGTTGTATAGATCAGATATTCACACTACGTCAGGTACCAAAGAAGTACATTAACCTTATAAAGGCTCTCTACTCGAACACAACTGGTAGAGTGAGAGCTTATGGCGAACTGTCACCAGAATTGATTACCTCAAGTGGTGTTCGTCAGGGCTATCCACTCTCCCCATTCTTGTTCAACTTTGTCATTGACGTACTTTTAGAGATAACACTCTCCTCATCTAAATTTACAGGGGTTGAACTTCTACCAGGAGGTTCACTTGTTGACTTAGAATATGCAGATGACATAGTTTTATTTGGCGAAGACGCTGACAAAATGCAGAGTCTTCTGACCACTCTAAGCAACAATGCAAGCATGTTCGGCATGCGATTCTCTCCCTCGAAATGCAAAATGTTGCTTCAGGATTGGGTTACATCGACACCCGAACTAGTGATAGAGAGTAAAGTAATTGAGCGTGTCGATCGCTTCACTTATCTTGGAAGTCTCATCAGCCCTTGTGGTTTAGTGTGTGACGAAATCTCAGCACGGATACAGAAGGCTCGACTAGCTTTTGCCAACTTGTGTCATTTATGGCGTAGGCGAGATATCCGTCTATCAACCAAAGGTCGTGTTTACTGCGCAGCAGTTCGTTCCGTCCTACTTTATGGCAAAGAAACATGGCCGGTAAGAGTAGAGGATATCCGTAGGTTACTAGTATTTGATCATAGGTGTCTTCGAAACATTGCTCGTATATCATGGGACCATCGAGTAAGTAATGCAGTTGTTAGGAAACGGGTACTAGATATGGATGGCAAATCAATTGATGACGTAGTGAAACTTCATCAGTTGAGATGGCTGGGACACGTGTTACGTATGCACAACGACCGACTGCCTCAATGTGCTATGTTCAGTGGTATAGGAGTAGGTTGGAAGAAAGCTAGGGGCGGCCAAACCAAAACATAGCACAAGTCCATGACGTCACTGACAAGTGAACTGAGGCATGTTGGTAGGTGTAGACTACCTGGTTGGGGACCGCGAGATGACAGCAACCGATGGTTAGAGACCCTGAATGACATTGCTTGAAATCGTTTGCAATGGCGCAGGTGCGTCCACATTTTGTATTCTCTCAAATTCTAATCTTCTGAATTCTTCATGTCCATTTTTTCCTCTTTCCAAATTTATTTCACTGTATTATACTCTTTAAATAATATCTCCAAACCCTAATCTTCCCGATTACTGCTTATACTCTTATTACCTCTACCACTACGGGATTTGAATCGACAACTGCATCTCTGTGCTAATGTGGTGTGGCAACTCGAACTGATGTACGTACGTACGAAGTTCTACGTTGTTACTGACTGACTGACTTCTGGTACTAACAATGTTATTACTTTTACTGCTCTGACTAAAATTTTTCTGGACAATTTAATCTCACTGTGCTTATGTGGTTTGGCGAATTGAATGAATGGAAATATACTAGGTTTTACGTTGCACAGCAAATAAATTGAATCATAGTACTCTAATAGCAATAAAAGTTTATTTTGCAAGTACAACGTTGTCTAAAACATGTGGACTGATTCCGAAGTTCTGTCAGATTGGAGGCACAAACTACACATCAACTACTTTGGTTAATACAGTTTGCTGTTATCACTAACTAACCACATAAAAAAATATAGCTTAACAGCAATACTTAGTGAGTTATACTGCTTTTTTACATAATTTATCCTGATACATTGTCATTATTAAGTTTACCACTATAAGAATTACATTAAAAATAACCTTCACTTTGTTAAGTTAGGTTGAAAAAGACATAAAAACGTAGTTTAATTTGCTATTTAATTCAAAAAATGTACCAAACAATTAGATTTCGCTGATCGTAAAAACATGAATAGGGTACATAGAAGAAAGATAAATGGAAGTGAATATAATTTAATTTGAACGATACTTTGTTGTACAAGCGTAAAATAAAAGTGGATTTATATTGCGACTAAAACCAGTTTTAAACTGCATTGTTAAAATTATCTATCAGTCGTTTAACAGAATATATTTCGAAGTGGTAAAAACATATGTTCTCAAAGCAAATCTACCCGTGTTTTCATTTTTACATGAAACCAAGTAAGAAATCAGATCACTTTTATTCTGAAATTTGTGGAATCAAAGCCTAACTAATGATGATATATTAGTTTTGCAAATTAATGCTTAGCAGTCATAAATTACCGAAACCATACACATTCAAACATGAAGAATAACTACTGTTTCTGCATGTTAGCATTTACAAAAATGAGAATAACGTAATGCTAGTAAATTTAGTAGGTAGGTGGGACGTTGTTGGAAAGTTATTTTACCGACATATCAAACCATAAGCCATTCGGAAAATGTTACAAATGACAACATACCAATGTGATAATCCAATACTTAATTTTTCAAGTGAATATATGAGCGAAAGGTTTTTTACAATACTTATGGCTTACTTCGCATAAACGCTCTCCGAGACCAGAATCTGTGCCTGCGAATTAAAATTAAGACTCGGTAATGTAATGATTTACTTAAGTATCCTCTCTCCTTGGATGCATGAAGACCATTTTGTTCTATGACAGGTTTTCGAAGAATAGATTTTGATTTTTGAGGAAGTCCAGCAGAAGAAATGCACGATAAATCGTTTTGCGGTTGGTTCATCTCGATTAGCTGCTCATGAATATACTGTGACGATGCCATATCACTGGCACTGACACAACCTTCATCATCAGTAACAGACAAAGGTGTTTGGAGAAGGTTCTTACTAGGAACACTACTAACAGTTGCAGAACAGCATACTTGATTTATACAATGTGGACAATAGAATTTCTCCTGCCAAACAGTAACGCGATCACCAGGACGGAACGTGATCCTATTGCAAAAATTAGAAGGAAACGACAAATCATAATGAAAAAATTTTCACTCACACGAACTAAAACTTACGGAAATAACATCATATGAAAGTGCAAATATTGCTTTAATGGACTGTATATGTAACATTTCATTGTTACTACGATCTCAAGTTCAAAATTTCGGATTTTAATTTCCAAAGTAATGTGTTGCCTTACAAATTTATTAGTTACTAGCTTGGTGCTTTATATTAAACGGATCGAACCATAGACTCAAAAATAGGGAGATAGGATTTTAATCAGAATTATATGCATTGCTAATGAGAAAACTGTTTAATGCACATCTTGAGTAGTGGTTGACTCGCTTAGATATACTGCCAAGCAAGGACATAAATGAGACAAAAAAATCAACATCATGGAGTATAAATGACAAATTCATTATTCATTTTGATTCTATGCAGTGTTTAGACGAATCATATACTATGTTATGATGGCTGACCGAATACGCATACCTAGTATGGAACGCCAACACGAACCAGTAACTAGTATAAAGCCACACTTTACCTAACTGCAATAAGAAACATGACGTTGCTGTCATAAAGGTTAGAGCTGAACTGCAAAGTTATTTTATTTCCGAGACATATATACTGGGACGGCAAGTTTCCGAATTCACACGAAACGAGATTTTGTACATTATCTACTCTCCTTAAGGAAGACTAATAACTAAGCTCAATGATAATTTGTGGCATCTGCTAGTGCTTGGTGAGACAACCAATTTATTTCTATTTAAAATCAGTCAAAGCTACGTTGATATCACCAAAAATACGATAATCAAATCGTGGGAAAGTTCGTTAACAACAGAGTTAAATATCATGAACCGGAAAGTCGTTAAGGTATGAATACTACCAACCGCGAAGTCTATAGACTTCATAAGCTGTATTTATACCTCCTATAGAAGTTAATTGCACTTGCGGCGGCATCATTATAAGTAAACTTAAATATGTCAGATATTTAGTTCACAAAATCATAACCATGTGACACAGAATTACGATAGAACCTTAAGAACTAAAACTTACGAACACTTATTACATTTGAAGCAACCTCGATGAAAAGAGAAATTGAGGGCTGTCACTACTTCCCCAGTTAGATCCTCCGAACAAATTTTGCACTTTGCAATAAAATAACGCCGATAATCATCCTGACAGTAGAATCCGCCATCCTTCACGAAAAATCCGCCATGTTCAAGACTTTTGTTACATTCTATGTATTGTTTGATAAGTCTGAGATTTCTTACTTGTGCATTTAAAACAGTCCTTATGAAAATACTTATTTGATACTCGCAAAACATCTCCGCGGCATTTTCGACGGCACTTATCACAATAAATTTTACCTTAAGTTTTAGCGAACTTTATTACTTTTTACATTTTACTCCTTACCCATTTCTAGCTATCATCCACAAGCTAACCACATGAGTGATTTCAAATAAAACTTCTGGGCGACCCTGAGTAAACTTACAAGTATGTGAGTTGGTAAAACAAAGAAATGGAACACTGTAAAAACTTTTTTCAAAGCAGAGTAAGAAGCGACTTTATAAACATGTAATCAATGTTCTGAAGTAAGCCATTGATTTTTGTTGGCTGTATTGGTACATTAATGTTTGCTGAATACCTCCAAGTCAACCAGTATTATTGTCCAGATGCTTTTGCAAATTAAATGAAATTGAGTGATTATCGATGCGTATCTGACTAAGTCATTGGAGGATTACACTTATATGAGGGCCACAAGTCGTCCGAACCTGCGTAAAATCGTGTTATTTTTTCACAGTATGAATTAGAACAATGCAATATTCCATGCTATCTGACACTGTCGTTTTTTTCTTATTAATGGTCTATCAATTAGGTTTAATTCCATGCCTACTATATCTCCAATTCCTTTAAAGATATGAAGCCCTCGGCTCGTCACGTTTCAGACAAATTCAGGTAGAATAATTAATTGAACAACCAAAAGCTCGCTATCCCTGAAAACAGCGACTGGTCATTACTGACCCCTATTGTTCGGTGTAGATTGAAAGTCGCCTCCGTTAAATAACTGTAATTACAATGTGTTGCGGTAGGAATATACTGAAGCCACCTTAGCATAGCATAACTGGTGTCTTAAAGGATTCATACAAAGTCAAATCAGAGATCTCGTAGTTGTCCATCAACGAGAACGAGAAAGTATTAAGCTATGAATTTGTATGTAACGACCAAAATGCTAGTATTCGATTTGAATGCAGAATTAACTAAACAAAGTTTGTTCTATTAGACCAGACAACGTTCTTCTGTACAGAGTACGATGTGTTTTTGATTTACTCGTATTAAATCATATCAAAAATACAAGCTCCGTGCCCAATTTAAATGGTTATAATTTGAGGAGGAGAACACATTATATCAAAAATATAAAATACCTCAAACGATGCAGCCTGTGCTGCATTTGATTCATAGCATTAATATTATCAAAATCGGTTCTACAACCGTCTTTGTCGGGTGCAACTCTAGATACCTAACGGTTCGGATAAAGACACTGCACTTCATGTAAGTTAAAGTTAGATTGTTTAAATTTTGTCAGGACACTATCAAATCTATGGGACATTTCCCGCTGAGCAAGTCCAGTAACAATAATGTCATCCATGTAGCCCCCAATCTTTCGTAATTCACATGTTGCAATATACATAGTTTGTTGGAATGTCGCTGGAGCTGTCCTCACACCGAAGGAATATCTCTGGTGCTGATACATACCTTTGTGAATTTTAGTGGTCAAGAGGTTCCGCGAAGATCCATCAATTTCATCTTGAGAGTATGTGTCTGCTAAGCTCATTTTTAAAAATACTTCTCACCATTAAGTTCCATGAATATATCTTCGGGCACGGGAAGTGGATCTGAATGATCTTCCAATGCATTATTCAGATCTGTCGAGGAATGAGCACACAAACGTTAGGATTAGTTGACCTTTTATAAAAACGACTACTGGGGATGTTCAGAGTGAATATTTCTCAGGTTTGAGGATTACCAGTTCCTCCAATCTATCCAACTCCCTATTCACTAGAGGTAGAGAAGCATATGGGACTGATCGCTTCATATGAAAATTAGGTTGAATTTTTCGGCCGCAAACATAGAACTACTTTCCGTACATCAGCGTTTCACCGAATAACGTGTAGTGACTCACATTTATCACGAGAACACGACTGGTTTAACAAAAACATTTATTATTATAACCAACTGTACCAGTGTTTATTTTAATGTGCTTTTGTTTGACTGTGCTAATGACAGCTATATTTTGCTTCCATTCTGATACTTACACTTTGATTGTAACTTCGCGCGAATTCGGTTACCTTCTGTAACCAAGGTTGTATCCTGGCACGATCTCGGTATCCTTTCGATGCCACGAGATCGCCAGCTAATAAACCTCGACTTGGTCCATTAACTGTCTTCTGGTATTCGGCTTCTCGGGGATTTTATGGAGTCATTTGGAACGAGCTTCTTACGCCTTCTGATTCGCTTGGCACGTGTTTCTTGGTAGCGGTGTTCATAGTTAATCTCGACTCGACACCACGCTACAATTGGTAATCCCAAATCGAATACAATTGGTGATCCCAAAGTTTGGAACATGCCTCAACTTCTGGTCAAATCTTCCAAAGAAGCCAATTCCGTGAGTCTATGATTTATCTATCCACGTCTGTCGTATATTTTTATATTTTTTATTATATAATATACTCGACATGACGGATAACGATAAGAATAGTATTAATATAATAGACTCACACGTATGTGTACCGAATCCTTGTCACTTTTTATTCGCGTGATGATGAATTCCACGCTTTATTCGAGAAATGTTACCCTATTGACGATTCTCCTCGCTGACCCGGCTGCTTGGTACGGAATGCATACGCATAAGCATATCTGTCTACCACCCAGCACCAAATGGTTAAGTAAACGGTTTCACTGCCAACTTAAAAGTGCTCTACGAGCACACGAAAACGGCAACTGGCACGAAACCTTACCGCTCGTTCTTTTAGGGATCAGAACGAGCTTAAAGGCGGATATACAATGTTCCGCCGCTGAACTTGTATACGGCACGACATTGCGTATGCCCGGAGAATTCTTCACACCACGGAGCAGACCTAATTTCGGTAAATCAGACAACGTCCATCGACTGTGTGCATTTATGCGAACGCTGTCTCCGGTGTCAACTCGAATACAACATTGACAGGTCACTCTCCCTCGAGAGTTATCTACCTGTTCACATGTTTTTGTACGAGTAGATTCGGTACGCAAACCTTGGCAACAACCTTACGAAGGCCCTTTTCACGTGATCGCTCGTCACGAAAAGACCTTCAAGGTTGATCGAAAAGGCCGCGTCGAGATCGTCAGCATTGACCGTCTCAAACCAGCACACGTCGATGACAGTGCCCTATCTGGTAACCTGAGATTCAATGCTAGACCTATCAAACCTAGCGGGATCCTTAAATCTTCTTCAGGTCCCACGCTAGATATATCTGAGACCTCATTCTCACGTCCCGGTCAACAGCACGCGTCATCTGCACCGTCTACGGACGAGACGACAGTCTCATGTCCAGATCAGCAGACCACACCGCCTCTGACCTCGGATGAGATTGCAGGCTCACGCGACGCGAACGAGACTACCGTCTCACGTTCCGGTCGCCGAGTACGGTTGCCCGTAGGCTTCCGCGACTAGCTGCACAGTGAACAACCGATACAGTGTAGGACTATTCCTATGCTACATGCATGCTACACTCTTCTCTTTTTTGATTTTCTTTTTGTTTCCTGAGCCCACACCTTCGACCATCTCCGTTTGGTTCCGTCGACTTCAGTCAACTTTGGCGAAAGCTGGCCTGATCACCCATGCTCTTGTCAACGAACTCAGTCGATATATTGTTTTCGAATGCTTGGCATACGCTTGGTCTCAAACTTGGTCGTTACGGTCGCTTCTGGTCTTTTGGCTCAACGTGATTTCGTCCTACGTCTGCAGCGTTTCTGGTGCGCACCCCTACAAACGCCCTCTTCAGATTCTGGATACAAACCACTCTGGTGTAGCATGCCAACTCAAGCAACAAATACAGCACATCGCTCCTGGTACCGTTCTCCGAAAACGACCTTCGTTGGCAACTCGACGATCAACGATCGCTTTCTTGTTCGCCAATTCTTCCGTCCTACAATCGCTCGTCAGCCGATCAGTCCCACGATTCAAACCGCTTTTTATCGAATGTGTAAACCCTTTCTAGCGGGGGGCTCCTGTAGTGACTCACATTTATCACGAGAACACGACTGGTTTAACAAAAACAATTATTATTATAACCAACTGTACCAGTGTTTATTTCAATGTGCTTTTGTTTGACTGTGCTAATGACAGCTATATTTTGCTTCCATTCTGATACTTACACTTTGATTGTAACTTCGCGCGAATTCGGTTACCTTCTGTAACCAAGGTTGTATCCTGGCACGATCTCGGTATCCTTTCGATGCCACGAGATCGCCAGCTAATAAACCTCGACTTGGTCCATTAACTGTCTTCTGGTATTCGGCTTCTCGGGGATTTTATGGAGTCATTTGGAACGAGCTTCTTACGCCTTCTGATTCGCTTGGCACGTGTTTCTTGGTAGCGGTGTTCATAGTTAATCTCGACTCGACACCACGCTACAATTGGTAATCCCAAATCGAATACAATTGGTGATCCCAAAGTTTGGAACATGCCTCAACTTCTGGTCAAATCTTCCAAAGAAGCCAATTCCGTGAGTCTATGATTTATCTATCCACGTCTGTCGTATATTTTTATATTTTTTATTATATAATATACTCGACATGACGGATAACGATAAGAATAGTATTAATATAATAGACTCACACGTATGTGTACCGAATCCTTGTCACTTTTTATTCGCGTGATGATGAATTCCACGCTTTATTCGAGAAATGTTACCCTATTGACGATTCTCCTCGCTGACCCGGCTGCTTGGTACGGAATGCATACGCATAAGCATATCTGTCTACCACCCAGCACCAAATGGTTAAGTAAACGGTTTCACTGCCAACTTAAAAGTGCTCTACGAGCACACGAAAACGGCAACTGGCACGAAACCTTACCGCTCGTTCTTTTAGGGATCAGAACGAGCTTAAAGGCGGATATACAATGTTCCGCCGCTGAACTTGTATACGGCACGACATTGCGTATGCCCGGAGAATTCTTCACACCACGGAGCAGACCTAATTTCGGTAAATCAGACAACGTCCATCGACTGTGTGCATTTATGCGAACGCTGTCTCCGGTGTCAACTCGAATACAACATTGACAGGTCACTCTCCCTCGAGAGTTATCTACCTGTTCACATGTTTTTGTACGAGTAGATTCGGTACGCAAACCTTGGCAACAACCTTACGAAGGCCCTTTTCACGTGATCGCTCGTCACGAAAAGACCTTCAAGGTTGATCGAAAAGGCCGCGTCGAGATCGTCAGCATTGACCGTCTC